CTGTTAGTTATTTCTTTATTGCTATCACGCATCACTGACAGCTCACTTGGCACCATTCATATAGCTATTCTTTTAAAAAGTGGGGTTACAGGTTGGTCTGAATAAAGCAAACTGCACTTAGTAATTCCTTTAGCAACACTGCCCTTTATATGCACAGTAATTCACAGCACTTCACCACTATGCAAAACATGCTAAATGCCCCAGTTCCCAGTTTCAGGGTGTGTGTGCATGTGTGTGTGTTTCAGCTGTGTGAAAGCCAGAGGGTGATGATTCTGGACCTGGGCACAGAGCCTCGGCATGTGGAGATAGTAAACCTTCAGCCCTTTGAGGATGACGAAAGCAGAGAGCAAGATCTGACTAGTTCACCTACAAACACCACCACTGAAAACAGGTTTGTGCACATGTACATGTCTTTGTTACATTGTGTGGAACAAATTTTCTCCAGTTCCATCATTGTGGAACATTTTGATACAATCAAATTTGATACTAATTTTAATACAATCTACACCTGTGACTGGTAAAGACAATGAAACATTCTGCCAAAAATGGTGTGAAATAACCAATAAATGTTCTTTTGGCCTGATGGTGCTGACAATAGACGAGATTACACCGTCTGTGAACATGTGCTGGACACATTGATTCAACTAACAGAAGAGCTAACGGAATACAAAGAAAGAAATTAAAGGCTTTTTATTCATTTTTATAAGAGCGCCTTTGCCCCTTATTTTCCTGTTTTTGTTCCTTTTTGCAAAAACGTACCTTCGACTACTTTGTTGTGAACTTCCTGAGCTCTCTGGTATCTTCTTTCTGTTTTAAAACCTTTTTTTACTTTGACCTGGAGAAGTAAAATGTATGTGTATTGCTAATTCAGTCCATCTAAATTTGAATGAAAACAAACGTGTGTGTGTGTGCACAGGATCCTTTCAATTTGATCTGCTGTGGTTCATGATTTTTCTTAGGTCCCAAAATTCTTATGACCCCCAACTATTACTGATGTTGGTATCAGAAGGGGAAAAGCTAGTAAGTTGCTGCAGCCAGAAGGTACCACTTTGGTCAAAGGGAGTAGAAGCTGCACACTGTGATAGGACTCCCTTGTCAATCAAAGCGCACATGCTGCCAAACACACTTCAGTTTCAGCCACTTTAGGGACAGAGATAGATTAACTCTCCTTTTAGCTCAGGTTTGGTTTCCTCCAGCTTGATCTCTTTAGCTGCTAAATGCTCCTTTATGCTCACCAGCTAGTCTCTAACTGTGTACTGTATGCTGTGTGGTTTCATATAGTGTAGTTAGGGCTTTAAAGGTTTTTTTGTTGGAAAATTGCTACTTGCTGCTGGAAATAAGGTTGATGAGAGCAATGTTAGAAGACTGAAAAATCAAAATGGAATACAAACTGGTATTATGGTTAACTGAACCTGGAACATGGCTAACTCTGGTGTGATGTCAATCCCAGCTCCATCTCCTCTGAGTTCCATGGTAAATGGATAAATCTAAGTAGGTTTGCCACTACAAACAACAACTTTCTGATCACAAATAGTCTATTGTTATTATAAAAATATTGATTAGTACAGCTTTAAACCTCAATATGCCTTTATAATTGAAACAGCAGATGGAGTGCTTAGTGTGTGAAACAAGGAAAAACAGATCCCAAAGATTTCCAATACCATGATAATACTGGATACCATTTCTTTGTAATACCCTATCAGTAGTAGTTTGTTTTAGCATCACTGGAGTGAGACACATTCTGATGTCTCAGCTGACTGTAGCTTCCAGACTCCTGAGCCTGAGACACCGAGCCCAGAGCCTAAGGAAGAAGACGCAGACATGACACAGCAAACCACCAGAGAGGAGAAGCTGGAGAGCAGCCTGGATTCTTACAGCCAGCTTACAGCAGATGACAAGAAACACAACAATAACAACAACAACATGTTGACTTGTAAGTGAAGTCTCCCTTTATGTGGCTTTCAAAGTTGTAACATCTGTTCTAGGGGTGTAACAAGATCTCATTCCACGAGATCTTGCGATGTTAAAACATGATATTTCTTGCTGAGGCCACAGCTGTCTCGTGATATCAGTATGTAACCGAATCAGAGCAGCAGCCAGTATGATGGACTTTGACAAAACATTCACATTAGTCTGGCAAAAACGTGTTTTAATGCACGGGGCTGTGTTAGTAGGGGGGTGAGGGGTTGCAGGAGGAGTGTTGTAGGCGTGATATGGCCACCTGCTGGACTGGAGTGTGAATCAGCCGCAGTGATTGCTCATGCGTTCAAGGTAAACAAAAGTCTTATTCCCGTGGGTGTCTGCATCACAGATTGTCCCCCGTGCATGATTGGTCAACGCAGGACCTTTTCCAGATGATGTCACCTTCCAGTGCGGTGCAAGAATAGCGTATAAGGTCACACACAGCCTCAGTTAGAAATCAGAATCTCGTGCGTACTTCATGCACAGTTATAAAGTCTGAAGAGATTCGTGAAATCATACAGGGGAGAACCAAGTCAGACGAGTTTTTGGCAAAACTTTTACAGTGCCTGCATATTGTTCTGCCTTTTACTGCATATGATAATACATACTCCGAAAATAGAAGTGAAGTGACACTGGTCACAAGATGATTAGTTAAAACATTTCAAAATGCACCTGGATTGTTTTGCATTTTGTGACTTTCTGTTGAATACTTCACTTTTTTCTACTCATATTTCGTCACTGACGTTTCTTAGAAATAGTGTTAAAATATCGACTCGTCTCGTTCTCGTGATCCCAGTATCGTGTATCGTCTCATCTCGTGAACTAAGTGTATCATCACACCCCTAATCGGTTCATGTCAAAACTGAAACCACACTTCATGTAAACTCAGACACAGTGACTCACACATTTAAGTCAATTCTACAAATCTCATACAGAAACTAAAATCAACAATTAATTTCATGTACTCGCCGTCATGTCTGTGTATCCAGGTCGTGGTTTAGCTTCTAGGTCTGTGCTGTAGACCTTTATTGATGTTTAAAAACTATTAAAAACACACCCATGAGCCACACTGCTGCACTGGCTGATGTTTCTTCCTCACGAAATATGTGGGGTACATCTTATTTCAAAAATAACCCATGCGTTGAGTGGTTGTCACTTTTTACCATCTCCAAAGTGTCAACTATATGTCACCTCCACCCTGTTTACACTACTCCGCTAACTTCTTGCAACGCCATAATGCTAGCTGCCTCTTTCTTCAGAGACAGTTATTAATGTTTTTAGAAGAAATCTTAAATATTAAGCTAGAACTTCATATAAAACTGACATTTATTCTGTTAAATATAAACAGTGACAATGGTTAACTAACTGGATGTCTTCATCTTAAAAAGTTTTGATAGGAGGATTCAAGAAGATTTGAATTTAATAATTCTATTGTCTTGGTTGTGGGAGTTAAAGGCATAGTTTGGGAGTTTTCAGTCTTGTGTTAAAACAATATTGATGTGTCCCTGTGTATGTGAAAACAGGTCTTAGTCGTTGTGATGTTTCCTACTCTCCACACAGACCCTGAATGTTTCCCAAAAATGAGGGACAAAATACACAACCCTCATTCTACAAGACCACATATTCAATCTTTGCCACAGTACTGCATACATTTTTATAACTGAAATTGAAGAAGTTCTATAGGCTATATATATAAAACATGGTCAAGATGCAATAAATAAATAAATACACACTGAGAGAGAATATAATAAATAATATCATTAATATAAAATGAGATGCACCAGGCCCAGAAGTACCACAGAGAGATAATTAGAGAGAAGGGTGGTGGAATGAATAAACTGACTGATTATGGGGAATGTAACATTCACAAAAATTGGCAGCTTGTAAAAATCCTCTCATATGATATCATCCAGACTGTCAACATTTCTCTAATCCCCTTTATTTTTTCAAAGCTCAGTTTTGATGCATGGTTTAAAATCTCACTGCATTTATCCACACGCACCACAAAGCCTGTGAAAGCAGGCACTTCAGTGTGGAACATGTGGCTTGCAACCCAAACACACAGCAGACTCTAGTGGATAAATAATGAAACTGCAATGTTTGTAAATTGCGAGCCATGTGGAAATAAAGGCAGATTCATTTAGTGATTTTTGTTTTGAGCCTTTACGTCAACTGAGACATTTCAGATATACACCTAGATTTGAAAGGCCAGAAAATCCAGCCATGTGTAGAGTGGTTCAGCTGTAGCACAAAGTTTGTGCTGTAAGAACTGCATTGCCTTTTAGAGTTGCTGTCTTTTTTCTTAAATGTCTGCATAAGCACAGATTCAGCTTGATCTGCATGTTTGAACAGGGAGCAGGTTTCTAATTGTCTTTAAAGCTGTAAAAGCTGTTTTGGCCATTTTTGTTCTCCAGAGCAAAAGCCAACTTTTAATGTTTCAGCATTTTATTAAACAAGCTTACTTGCTTTCTTGCTGAGAGTTAGGTTAGAAAATTGATACCACTGTAGTGTTTGCCCATTAAATATGCATCCAGCACTAATTTTGGATGTTGCAACTTGATATTTTGCTTACAAAACTAAATTTTTAGCACAACTTTTCTGCCTATGGAAGCTAGCACTGTGCTACTGATACAAGCAATATCAAAGGTAACATAAAAGGGTCACTACTGTGTCCATACCGTGGAAACTGTATGGCAGTCCACTGGTTTAATGAATCTTTTAAAACTTTATGCTAACATTCATTGCAGCAGTATAATAATGGCAAGTAGTGTTTGTTTCCATGCAGGTGACTTAATTAGTGAAAAATTAAGTGGCTTTGTTGTTATTAAACTTCCATAATCTTGGGAAAGTACAAGTACGAGATCAAGTAAGAATGAATACCATCACCTAAATAATTTGTATTCATTACTATGGAATCTTTGTGACTCATGCAATCATTTCTGTGGCCCGTCCCTGCAGCGCAGACCTTCACTTTGGTGAGCAGCGACACGTGAACGACGCTGGCCTCAACATCCACACTGGCGTCCTGTAGAGCCTGAATGTAGCCAGCCTGCACAGAGCATGCTCCATGGCTTCCTGCATTTACAGCAGAACTACTTTGATACTACTGTTACATGCCCACAAAGAGACTGAGAGCGAGAGGATGACAGCCCTGCTAACAGACTGATCAACACTGACGAGCTGCCATCACATCCAGACGAAGAGAAAGACAGATGTACTGTATCCTTAGAACCTTTTAGATCTGTTCATACTGATACGTCCTGAAGCAAACCATTAATTCTATGTAGTCATATTTGTCCCACAACAGCTCTGCATAAATATGAGATTGAGATTGTGAAATGGTCTAGGTCTAAAAAGGTTACAAATAATGTCTGTTTTAGTAAGATTAGAAATGTTCTGATTACTTAAACTACATGGCCTAACTTGACCTACACAGTAGTCCTACAGCTATGAACAAAGGTGACAGTTTAATTAGGGTTGTTTGTTGTACAGGTTTAGCACATCTTTTTTTTTCAGGGGGAGGTTTACTGAACAAAGGGACTGACAGGCAAGTTTCAGAATCTTGATTGTTCTTTGCTTTAAGGTTTTAATCCAGTTTCATCATCTGGATCCACCTGGACAGCCCCTTATTACAGGTTTGTTTTGCTTTCTTAATAGACATAATCTCTAGAAGCAGCCTAGGGGTCGAGTGTCCTGTTTGGAGAGCTCAAAATGGTATATCTGCTTTTTGAAGATGAAGTATGTCTGCTACCGGACTATCATGTCCACTGCTCACTGGGACTGTTTGCAATTTACAGTCTGCGCCTCTAAATCAGATTAGTCTAAATTCCTTCACCCCCGACCTATGACAATAACCTTTGGGAAGTCACCGAATGAATGAGATTGTGGACACAAGCAGGTGGAATAGGATGGCTAGGTGAATGAGGAGCATAGACATCCACAAAGAGTTCAGGGTAGATCTACAGCTACTTCCCATCGAAAGGAACATGTTGAGGTGGTTCAGACATCTGGCTGACCCTGACTCTTACTGCTTCTCAAGTCTCTTATATGATTGATCCTCAGTCGACCCGGATACCGTTCCAGTCGACCAAGAATCGAGGATGTCACAAGACTCTTATATTTGCTCTGAGAAGCAAGGAGGCTGCTGGGGTAGCTATTAGTGACGATACAAGAGAGCATCCTCTGCAGAACTCATTTATGGACCAACAGTGCTCATCTTACTTTATGTTCATTTATCTGACTGTGTTCCTCATAGTTATGGAGGCCCCTGACCTCCAAGCTGGAAACCAGTTGGCTAAAGAACATGCACTAACATACTGAGGGTTAAATCCCAATGCAGAATATACAGAGTGGTTCTATCAAACATCTAGGTTAATTATCCTGGTACTAGTTCATATTAATTATTGATCAGTGGGCTTAGGGATGTGGACTATTTTGGAGCTTAATATAGTTTAAATACAGTATATACTTTTTTACAGAGGACACAGAAAGGCTGTGGTACAGTCATGAAGCCTAAAACTACCTAAAACAGTGCTGGTGCCTTCAGGAATATGCAGGAGCCATTAGTGAGGATACAAGAGAGCATCCTTTGCAGAACTCATTTATGGACCGACAATCCCCTTTATTGGAAATCCGTTGGTGATTGGAGGCTTCAAATGAAGAAATGATGAAAAGATGTTTCTTGAATTTCTCTCTCCTCACATGTTCTCCTTATATCTTTTCCTCACATCTTATGAGGGCAGGACTAAGATGTAAGGAAAAGGCACAAGTGAGGGAAACCTGGATCCATATAAGAGGCTTGGGAAGCAGCCAGGGAAACATCCTGGACACCTCTCTATAAGGGCTTTCCAAGCAACTCCAAGGAAGCATACACAAGGGAACAGTCACTCACCGCAACACATATTGTACTAGGGGATCACTTGGCTGAAAAGGCTACATTTGGTGGTGAAGCACTCAGTCCTGTTCTGTTGGCTGTCGGTCTCTGTTTGTCCCATTATTAGGTCAAGCAGTCCGTTGACAAATGTTACTACTGATCTTCATTCTTGTTCAAGAGTAAGATATTTTTCACACAGTTGCACATTCATACCTGGAAGCTGCCCAGAACAACCACCATCACCACTGAGCAGCAGCTCCACTAGAGCAGTTGGGATTAAGGGCCTTGCTCACGGGCGCCAGAATCCCATGCAGATTTTATCCTGTCAGCCCAAGGACCGGACCGGCGACCTTCCAGTCACATGCTCGTGTCTCTAACCTTTAGGCCACCACTGCCAATTCTAAGACTTATAAAGAACCAAACCATTTCACAATCTTGACTGTATGTATGAGTTGTCTGGGGAGTAAATAGCTCCATAGGGATTTGTTTCCAAATACACACACACACACACACACACACACATCAATATAGAGAACTTTTAATACCTAAGTATTAAGGTCTTATTAATATAATTGTTAGATATAGACTAATCTACAGATCTGGAGGAGGGGATATTAGCTGTTACTGAGTTGCTGGAGGTGAGTGTACAGCTGTATATAGGAGCACTTGAGAAGTCTCACAGCAGATGGGCTAAGCACCAAAACTCAACACACATGCAGTGCTTTACTTTAATAACTCCAAAGTGACCGCTGATGCTCTTGGATTTTAACCTGCTATGATTTGAATTCTTTGTTGATTTGAGACCAGGGGCTCCCTTAGTACTATATTTTCACATCTTTTGCACCTGCAACAGAACAGATTGTCTTCTAATGGATATACATATATAAATATATAAAAATTATATATATATATATATGAAAAATAAGATGATTTTTACTTCAACAAGGTGCCACATCATGCTGCTGTTTTCCCCTCTCTTTTTTGGACATAACCTAAGTATTTTGAAAAAGTTGTGATTATTTATGTCAAGCAGAGGGTCTGTTGGATGACACATGCAGTATGTGAACGTTTTGGATTTCCAGTCTGCTTTTTCAGTTATGTCTCTTTTTGTTTGTTTGCTTGTTTTTTTTATTGTTTTTGTATTTTTCCCCTCTGGTTTACATTACTTAAAAGATATAGAATAAGAGGTTGAAGACATGACAAAGATTAGACACTTTGTTGTCTAATATGTCATAGGTGGTGAAGAATCAGAGAATAGCACATGTACGAAGCAATAAGTAGGACTTTGGCACTCCAGGACATAAAAGATTAAAAAAAAAAATCTTTAAAGAGATGTATAATGTGTAAAAAATAAAAATAAAATTAAACAAGATAGCATAATTTATGCACACACTGAAAGAAGAAGAGCGAATATTATAACTATAAGAAACTATTAATATTATTAGGGTCAATATGCAAAAGGTTCATACCCCATCTGTTTTATATCATGTGAAATAAATGTTGATGTTCTTAAAACATGCTCGTAACTTGTGTTTGTCTCTGCCCATGTGTCAGCTTAATTTAGGTATTAGCAAGGATGTAAGAGAGCATCCCCTGCAGAACTCGTTTATTTCTGTTCATTTACCTGACTGTGTTCCTCATAGTTATGGAGGGTCCCGACCCCCAAGCTGGAGTTGGCTAAAGAACATGCACTAACATACCAGAAGTTAAATTCCAGTGCAGGATATACACAATGGCTCTATCAAACATCTAAGCTTAGCCAGGAACATGGGTGAAATAAAATGAAAAGATTCCATGTACAAACATTTTGAGGTAAAATTCTAATTCTGTTTATGTTTGTGTGGAAAGGAAATTCATATTTAACCAATGTTATTTACCCTGTTTACTAGTTCCTATTATTATTCACCAGTGGGCTCAGGGATATGGGCTATTTTGTAGCCAAATAAAGCTTATCAAGTACAATATGTAATTTTTACAGAGGACACATCTACGACTTGGCACAGGCACAGCAGAGTCAGGCCTTCATTTTAACGGAACAGGTCGGCCACTCAGGTCAGCAAAGTTCAGAGTATCCACACAGTGGAGCGAGCAAAAATTTAATAAAGAACGGCTGTGGTACAGTCCTGAAGGCTAAAACTACCCAAAACAGCACTGGTGTCTTCAGTAATACGCACATTGTTGAGATAAGAACGTGTCAGCAGTTCTCGAGTTGTATCATTTTTCTGTTTGTCGGAACACGTGGAGCTGAGAAGCCACAATGCCAAAGATCGTTTATTATTGAGAGGATGACGGACTCGTTTTACAAAAAAAGATGTATACTCTCTGCTGCAAAATGTGGCCTTTCTCATATCGATTAAAATCAAGAATAAGCTACTGAATATGAAGGGAAAACAAACTTTTTACATTTTTTTCAACGTGGGTTAAATCTGGGTATAATTTCAAGGAATGCTTATTAGTCCTACAAAATCGGGATTACATTAGTCTCAATTGTAATTACATCAATTTATAAATATTTACATTTGTTTGTTTGTTCAGATATCTACAAATTACACTTAGCTCAGAATTAAGGCTTTCAATGTAAACTATATGAAATAGTCCAAGTAGGATTCATAATTCTGTAGACACTGGTGTTTACAGATGCTCTTAAATCAACGTTATGTCACAAAAAAGTTGTTTGCTATCTGTCGTAAAAAGAAGAAACAAGGTATGAACACAACTGAGCACAAGTAGCCTACAGAGTGACACGTCTTTTTTAATCGACCAGCTTTGGTCATGCTGTGCCCCGACGTCACGCAAACCCCCTGCTGTGTTTTACGCTTGAAGCGGAGAGTGTGAGTGGAGGAAGAAGGGCAGCCTGAGGGCAACTTTTCGAGTGGAAGATCATAAAAATAGCTTTACGGTGCTGGTCGAAAATGCCTCAAATAACGACCGAAGGGGCCGAACAAAATCTTCAGGCGACGTCGGATCAAAACGGCACCGGTGAAACGGCAGAAACCGGGAAACAGGGACAGGCCGTGCCGGACCCTATGCAGGAACCTGGCGACAACAACGAGAAAAGAGC